ATCATGGTGGGTGATATTACTTGCTCTGTTTCTATTTGAAAACATAGAGGCTATGTCTAACTGCCCCCGGTTTGTGCAAAAAATATGCAAATGAGGAGAAGCATAGACTATCGCCATGCCTCATTTGCATAATTAATGAGACTTCATTTTTGCGCGAAAACCCCCTCTTCTGCAAGAGCCATTCTTCCACATTTTTTCCACATTAATTATGTAAATGTGGCGCAGTGATAGTCCATGCTTTGCCTCATTTGCATATTTTTTGCGCAAAATGGTGGCAGTGTAGACAAGGCCAGACATTAGTGAATAAATCAATTGAACGACACAGTTCCTCAGATCAGATCAGATTTAGTCTGTATTTCATGAGATCTCCAAGGAACGTAAGTGTGTTACAATTGTGTTATTGATTTAGCATTCTCATCCACAGCCATCTGTCCTCACTATGGGATGTGCTTTTTCTCCCTCTGATTAGAACCTCCCTCTAGACTTGCTGCACATAGCTAAGAGGCTGAGACACAAACCTTCCAGGATTGTCCAGAAATTAGTATCAATTGGGCGTGTTATTCTTCACTTGTTTTCCTAAGCAGTCATGTTGCATAACTATTAGATAACTTTCCCTGATCTATCCTAGGGAGTTATTTAAAAATAACCCCCCTCATTTTGAAATAATAAGCAGAGCATCCACATTACCAAGACCATTATTTCAAAATTAGGGGCTGGTTATTTTGAAATAATAATTCCTGCTTTCCTCAGGGAATAAGGCTTATTTCAAAATAGTTATTTTGAAATACTAGTAGTGTGGATTACTCCCCCGCAGTAATTATAAGTAATTACTCCCCAGTGCTTCCTGGGCTCTAAGTCAAAGTAGCTCATCCACAATAAGGGAACCTGCCTCGGACTAATTTTTCAAGGCTCCTCTGTAGGGGGGACACCCTATTTCAATTTTGTTATTTCAGGAGTTATTTCAAATTTAGTTATTTTGAAATAATTTTCTAGTTTAGACGTGCCCTCTGTGACTCTCCATCAAAGAAGCAGCTGCAATTGTTCCAAGAGAAATGAGTTGTGTACTTATTCAGGCCTTGATCCTGCAAGCCTTCTGTACCCACAGCTTCCTTTGAAGTCAGTAGACATGTTGCTTGTAAGCATTTAGTTTGTAAAATACTTTGAAATCCTTCAGGATAAGAGGTGCTCTATAGGAGTAAACTATATACGTGCATATTTTGTTAGTGACTATGATCATAGTATTGTGGGAGCAACCAAGTACACAATCTGTACAGAAAATGTACCTGAATAGAATTATGAAGTGTTTTGGGTACCAACTGTTCAGGTGGAGAGTTCACGTATTCATGTTATAAATTCTGTTCATACTGGTTTCGTTTTAGCCCTTTAATTATCACAGCATGCACTAATATTAGAGAGCATTAATAACCCACCTTTGTGACAGTTTCTCATATTTTTTTATTAATAAATTGTTACCTAAATGTTAAAATTTAAGAGGGTAATGGAAAGGAAAAAGTGACAAGCTTTTTAACAAGAATAAGAGTAACATTTTGTCTCAAAGCAGTGACTTAGCTCTCTGCTTTTTAGCTGAATAAGCACGAATAAGCACGAATACCTGAAGCATTGTGCTTCAACTAGCTGAATAAGCACGAATACCTGAAGCATTGTGCTTCAAATGTGAAGGCAGTGTTTTGGTAAAATAGCATGCTAAGCAATCTGCATTGTTACTGCCATTTTTGTTGAAGACATAATAGTGGTGGCGCGTCCGCTAGCACAAATTGGCTGGTGTATACCAGTATATACAATATACTCTTATCCTGATTACTTTCCTCACTGTAAGCGTCTCTAGAATTTTAGTAGCAAGCTGCAAGATACTGTGAAATCAGAAATAGAAAGTCAAAATCAAGCATTATTGTACATAGCTCTCTCTTCTCATGGGCAAGTTGAATTACACGCTTTACTGTGTTGGTATATTGTGTCTTTTTAGGGGATTTGATGATAACTTACTGTTCTGGTTTCATTTTTTTTCTTGATGATTAAAAGTGTGATAGCAAAGCAAAATATTTGTTTGCATAAATATTTATATATGATGATTTGATGCAGGCAATCTAGATTATCTTCCCTTACATTTTGGGGAATCTGTCTTTGAAATTTGTTGGGAGAATTGAGAGGCTCAGTGAAAATAAAACCATTGTTTCAAGGATTTTTCCCTCCTCATTATGGGTATGATTTGACAAAATATCACCCAAATTGCTGTGCCAGTGGAAGGCTTCTGTGGCTTTGCATTGCCCTATGTATCCCCACCCTACTTCTGAATGAATTTCTGTGAGCTTTTCTCATTGTGGGTGATAGTAAAGGCAATTTTGGTGGATTGCTAAAAAAAAAAAAATCTGGTTGTGAAATAAATTCTAACAAGATTAGCAGGACCTACAATGTGGAGGAGAAATGAGAGTTGTTCTTTTAAAATTTTAGGCTGTGCATGGTGTGCAATATGTTCCTCGTGCACAGTGAGCTGGGGGAAGGAGGGATGCAATGCATCAGATTCCACAGTCAGTTGCTGTGTAAAATATTTCAGCCAGACCAGAAAGCTATATTGTTAGTAAACATGTTGTATTAAATGCTGTACCCCTGTTGTGACTGAAGGCTGACTGGAATATATTTACACTAAGGATTAATTTAGAACAGAGCAATTAGATTTGTAGTGATATTAATGATCAAAAGTGTCATTATTTTAACTCCACCAATAATGTAGACAGCATTCCCTGAAAGAGAAAAAATAAATACATTTAAAGTTGCTGCCTAAGTATTCCCCAGAAATACCTACTTGTGGCCACAATATATTATAAATAGGAAAAAATTGTATTGGACATCAGGGAATTGGGCATTGCAAGTTGGGGATGCAGAACAGTGTGCGTGCATTGGGGTTTACAGAGACAGCATAAAGTCACTGAAGACTGATTTATCCAGGTCTTCATCTTCCTTTTGATATAAAAAATGCTTGCATCAAGAGTCCCATACAACAGTCTATCTATAAAATCAAAATGGCGCTCATCAAAAAACCTGTTGTTTTTTGCCACAGCTCAGCCAGCTCTTGCCAGATTTGTGCACTGGGGTGCACCTGCTTACTTTCACCTTTGCTCTCAGTGCAACCTGTCAGTAATGGGGATTAAGACATGGGCTATGTCTAGACTGCAAGCCTCTTTCAAAAGAGCCTCTTTCGAAAGATACTTTCGAAAAAGCCTCTTTCGAAAGAGAGCGTCTAGACTGCACGTTGAACTTTCAAAAAAGCGGCTTGCTTTTTCGAAAGAAAGCATCCAGTGAGTCTGGATGCTCTCTTTCGAAGAAGCCCTATTTACATTGAAGAACGCCTTCTTTCGAAAGAGGAACTTTCGAAAGAAGGCGTTCTTCCTCGTGAAATGAGGTTTACAGCCATCGAAAGAAAAGCCGCGTTCTTTCGATTTAATTTCGAAAGAACGCGGCTTGAGTCTGGACGCAGGGGAAGTTTTTTCGGAAAAAGGCTACTTTTCCCGAAAAAACCCGTGAGTCTGGACACAGCCATGGTTGGAAGGAGATTCTTGTAGGTCAAGTATATTGAGCAGTTCAGGGGGAGTTTGCAGCTCTACAAAGGCAGTCTCTCGGGGTACAGCTACACTTTCGGGATATTGGACTATACCAAAGTAGTATTCTGCATCTTCATAGTAAGCCCATGATTTCAGGCTCATTGTTCTGACGTCCCTGTAAACCTCATTCTAATGAGGAGTAAGGGACATTTTTTAATAGCGCTTTATTTCAAAATTTGGCACTGTGTAGATAGCTTATTTCATCATTTGGTGCTATTTCAAAATAGCATTGAAATAAGCTATGAAATTTATGTAGCTCTAATTGCGTATCTTATTTCGAGTTATGGTGCACCCTCAGTGTGTCAAACCTCTTAAGGATTTCCTGATGGGATATCTATCTAGTAGTAATGGTTACTGGTTACCTGGAGCAGACTCCAACCCAACATGGACAGCGGGCTACTGCAGCCCGGCTAGGCCCACTGCACCATGCTGTAGGCTGGGGTCGTGCTCCAGCCCAGCCAGGCTGGAACAGCTCCCCACTCACATTCAGTGAACCGTGGTGGGCCCAGCATAGCTGAGGCAGCTCCCTGCCCGTCCACAGTGCAGCATGATGGGCCTGGCCTGACCAGAGCATCCCCTGCCCACAGATAGGGACCACTCCAGCCCAACCACGTGCCCCATGCCACAAGCGGGGGGCAGCTTCAGCCCAGCCCACTCCTGTTTAAGCAGTTAGCTGGTTAAACGTAATGGTTAACAGGTTAACAGATTAAACGGGATTTTTCATCCCTAAGGGTATTTCGAACTACCTGTTAAACCTCATTGCAGGAGGAACAACAGATAGTTTGAACTAGGGCTTTATTTCAAACGCCCCTTTCACTGCTGCGCGTTGACGCTGGCAGTTATTTTGGGCTTGTAAATTTCAAAAATGGTGCCCGGTTGGGAAGATGCAAATCAAGCACAGGATATTTAAATCCCGGGCTTGATTTGCAATTCCAAATGTCTACATTTGCATCCCTAGTTCGAATTAGGCTGCAAGTGTAGACATACCCTAATTCTAACAATCTTTAGTTGATTTGGGACTCCCAATACTGAGGATAATCAAGTTGCAAGGAGACTGGTGTCAAGGAGGGACAGAGACATGTAGGAGCAGTAAGAACTATTACTAGGAGACACAGCAGGAAGGCTGATACGGTAGCTATGGGGCATATAAGGACTGGGGACTGTAACCAGTATGTAGAGCTTTTGTGTATTGTACAAGAATGTTAACTACCATTGATACTAATCGTTTGAGGTAGAGAATAAATATGATGAAATCTTCACATGTCTCATTAAAGTCTGAAGTGCATAAAAGCAGATTGTGTTCTAGAAGCCAAAAGTGCCAGGTAATCACTTTGTGTACCTCTGAGAGGATTACCTCACACCAAAGCCTTTATTTTAACACAGGCACCATTATAATGACTTGCTCAGCTCGCTCCAGTTCAGGAAGGAACTCACAAGAAACAGTTGGCCCATAGAAAGAGCTACTGAGGATTTCTTTTCTTCATTGGACCCAGGTTTGTTTATTATGGTAAACAGTGATCTTTGTTTAATTAGTTTAAACAAGATACCTCTACCAGATTACACTAACAACGGTGGGAAAGTTGGACATAGTATTTGGTTATTATGATGGTTGGAGCTTTATGCCAAAAATAAACAAGTTCAAATGCCTGCAGGACTGCAGCTATAGTGTCTGCCATATTGAAATAAAATTGTACTCCATTTTGGGTTGGTATTTTCAGTTTTGGGGTTTCTAATCCCTGATTAATCTTTTAAAAATCTAAATATTTTCTCTTGAAGCTGAAATGGTGACAGTATGAGTTGGTTGCCATGCTGATCTTTCATGGAAGGAGTAAGACAAAAATGAAAAAAAGGTTAAAAAATGTTACTGAAAAGTATAAAATTACTTCTAATTGTAATACTAACATTGGATTATGTATATCATATGTAGTACCCCAATAATATGTAAACATTTAATTAACATAAAAATAATAGAAATAATTTTCTTTCTTCCTACCTACCTACCTACCAACCAACCAACCAACAAAATGTTCTACTTGGGGATTTTCTATTTCATCATACAGTTGCCCAGGTCTGTGGTTAGTTGAGACACTGCTAGACTCCTAGATTTCTAAGGATGTTTCCTTTTTCTCTCCATAGTACTTTCAACGTCTTTAGGCAGAGATAACCTCTTTTCTCTTACATTAAAAGTTTCTCATGATGCAGCTCTTAAAGCCTCTGTGTTCTAGGGCAACCTGGTGGGCGGGGGAGGCAGCTCTCCACGCTGCCATTCCTTCCCCTCTCATGTCTGGAGCCACATCACTTGGGGTATGTCTACACTACAGCACTAATTCGAACTAACTTAATTCGAATTAGTTAATTCAAACTAAGCTAATTCGAACTAGTGCATCTAGACCTAAAAACTAGTTCGAATTAGCGTTTTGCTAATTCGAACTAGCATGTCCACATTGAGTGGACCCTGAACCGAGGTTAAGGATGGCCAGAAGCAGTGCCGGCAGGGCATCAGATTAGGACTTAGAGCATGGAGCTGCTATCTCAGGCTAGACGAGGGCTGTGCTTAAAGGGACCCAACCCCCACCCCGGACAGACAGTTCTCAGGGGTTCCCCACTCGCTTGTCTAACTCGATGAGGGACAGCAAAGAAGTCCTGGCTTGGAGTGCCCTGAGTGCCCACACTCGGCACATCACAGCACTCGGCCATCAACCCGGCTGCACTTGCCACAGGCTGCCATCCGGGGAGG